CAGAAGATTCACGATCCGCTCTGTCAATGTACCTATACCTCTTCCTTAAAAATTTAAGATTAAAAACCTCGGAATGGCCCGAAGCTTGAGTGTGGACACAAAATTAGTATTTTTTTTCCGATATTTTTGTTCCACCTAAGGTGAAAGTTTAAATTTTAGAAATCATGTCTTGAGAGCTGCATTGCATTTCTTGATGGACATGTACCTATGTTTGTTATATTGTATTTTCTACACGATAATAATTTGTTTTATTCTAAGTTATCTTGTTACTGAAAATGTAAATGTGCGTAAATAATGTCAGGGATTTTCTCATGTATATTAGTTTGCACTGTAAACCAATTGACCTATGTGACAGTGATATGTAGTTGACATTCTGATATCACCATGAAGTGTGTTCTAATCACATGGTTCAGAATATGCAAAAAATGTGCGTTTTAAATCAATCTTTAATTGGAGAACTATCAAGTTGATTGCTTTGATATTGATGTGTTGGTAATCCGATTTTATTCTATATTAAATTACCCCTACATCTGCCCTGCCCTGTGGCCATTCATTATTTCATTCTCTTTATCACAGTTAAACTTTCAAAATACGAGCTTAATGTATTAAATTGAGTTGAGGGCGTACTAGGACAAATGGGAAATTGGAATATTGGAGTCAAGTTTCATTATCCATTATTTCATCTGTTTTCAAGATAAACAAAAAACCCAACTTGCGAGATTTGATACAAGGTAGCAAGCTGAAAACTAAAAAAGTCTAATTTGGAGTCATCTACATTGGGTGATCAGTTAATAGAATGTCACCTCTAATATTACGGCGTTATCTATTGGCCGGAAGTTGAAATATGTCGACATGACTTGCATAGAACAGTACGAAGCACGGTGGTTGGGGTTGGTACGTCCAGTATGTTGGTTAATATCAAGGTGTAGGAGGAAATACTGGAAATAGAACTACCGGTTAGAGTTGGTAGACTCAACGTTTTTTTTTTTTAATGAATGACCGGTTTCAAGAACGAAGCATGTATCTGGTAGAGGTGTCGAACAACGTAACTGTATGACACAGATCGCGAGTAATATGACGCTGTACTCGTTACACTGGTTTTATATATTGTCTTTTGTTGCTAATAAAATGAATACAATGTCACAACATTATGAATAAAACAGTTTCGCGGTTACAAATTTAGTCCGCATAGGAATTGAACAATCTATTGAAGGTCGTATCAAGACCAAACTGAAAAGAAAAATCATGGAAACACAGTACGTAATACCGCTGTATTCAGAAGAATTACTCCGCATTACATCCACGAAATAAATTTGGAGGTGAAGCATTTACTGGAAATAAACTGACAAGGTGACATGCCCTCTACCCCAATACCCATTTTGAAATGTTGTTGGTTGATCCCTAGCCCCACAATGTTTTGACTGACATCGGATATGTCGGTCCCTTTGCGTATACGTCGAAACTTGGTCGGGTCCTACCAATCCACATTGAATATTGAAATTTTGATTTCAACATATCAATTTTCAATTTAGATTTGTGCGCCATACACTCGACAATGTTGAATTCATCACATATTGTGATATGTTCATAGAGACGTTCGTAAATAAATAATAAATGGCCGTATTATGTGCCACAGCTAATGTAATTTTCTATAACGTACCTTAATGTACCACTATCAAATTTATTTATTTCATGACGATTTCATTTTTATCGTTATTGTTGGTAAACAAATAATATTGTCTGACTTATTATTAAAACTATCAAACCGTTTGGTTTGATATTCAACGTAGGTAGGTTGAATTTGTATTGGATTTGCATGACGATATCAATAATCATTTTTTAATTCCCACCAACCTGGTTGCCTTAATGAATACTAGTATGTTCTTATAGGACATATTTGGAGTTGGCGGCATCGTACGCAGGAGCCGAGACATTTCTTCAATATGGAAACGATTCAATTAATTTTTGCACCAAGTTGCATTGATGTTGTCATGACGATGCTATGGGGCGACGCCCTCACTGGCGGAGTCCACATGCCGTCATGACAACGCATGCAAAGTATTTAGACTATTGGTTGAACGATCAACACTGTCGTTTATAAAAATGGGGGGGGGTTCTAGCGTATTAAGTTAGAAGAGGACCGGGGGCGTATGGTGACGATTGTAGTTGTAATAAATATCCGGCTATACTATATTACTGGTGTCCTTATGACTGAATGGTGCGTATAAGTGTCGAGCGATCCTAGTGTACCACTCACTGCCTTGCGAGTTACCCATTCCCCGTTACAACCACTTCCCGTATATTCAACCTGACGAACCATCCACCCATAACAACCCCTGATAGACGAAACCCGCATTGTTTACACTAGACAACCATTCTTCATGAAAAAATCGCGAAACTGGCAAACACAAAAATGTTCATTCGGACAAATATGATTCGGTCGAAATGATTAAGTTTAAATATAAACACAACGCCGTGTTGAAAAACGATTGGTTCCCGTTTAACATATTGTGAAATTAAACGATGACCTGTTTAATAAAGTACGTAAGCCTCAGACTGTATTACTAGTCTGAGCGTAAACAGAGTAAGGACCTGACTAAGGTGATACATTGAACCGAGTGTTTGATTGTTACGGTTATCAAGTGACGAACGTGGTAGAAACATCATAAGAAGTAGAACTTCCATCGGTCACATATTGCGGTTTTAGCGAAGTGGAGAATACATGGGTAAAGTGCACTTCGAGGATATCGGAATCGAGATGTATCCAAGATATAAAATACGCAGCTACGAGGGGCGTTAGTCTATTATCACTACTGAAAATGAAAGTGGTTGCGTGTCTCAGCAAAGTGATAAGTTCACATATTCATTGTTACAGTATCACATTAAAGTTCTGGGAGATTGTAACAAACTTTTTTTGTACGCGTTTCCCGCCTTTTCTTGTCACAAATTCGACGAAGTAATAGATAAGTTCACTGAAATAGCGTCGGTAAATAATTTGGTAGATTTCATGCAAACTTAAATGGTACATATGCTTAATTTACTAACCGAACACCTCCTTACACCTGGAAAATTGAGTATCTAGAGGAATTACTGCTTTGTAAACCACTGATTCATTTGAACCTTTGGGGAGCGATTGCCGACACAATTCATAAGACAATCGGTTTTATGCCCCAGTGTATCTTGTGAGTAGCGCCCTCGCCGGCCGAACGACATCAGACCTCACTCACTGTTTGGTTTGAAGCACCGCAGGCGTAACTCACACGCCATTATCCTCGGGGGCGGAGCTACGTCACAAGACGTTCCACGTTGCTACGACGCGCACCACTGTACATGCATTTCTATGGGCTCTGTGCGCGCTGCTGTGGAACACCGGTCGAGCCGGTGAAAATTCGAGAAAACAACACAAACTCAACTTTGAAGTAATCCCGAACAACCAAATTTATATATGTTACACACGTAGGGCTAATCTTGTTACACTGTTCAGGAGAGTCTCAACAATCATCCCAAAATACCGTTTTCTGCGAGTTTTGGGCCATTGTTTTCACCGCCTCCGGTTGCCAGGCGGTGAAAATGCCCGGATGTTCGCCCCACAAGATTATCCGTAAATTACCCATCAACTCGCTTACTGTTAAATTGATCGATGATCTCCGTTCTTAGCGAAGCGTTCAGTGTAGAAAGTGAAGATTCGGAAATTATCCGCAAACTTGAATACATGTACAGAGCGAAACAATTTAACGCTGATCTAAGCAACTTCTGCCTGTTTGGATGGCATCTAAAGAAGCCCTTGAGCTGTTTAATGATTGTGGTTGTAATAGTTATGAAGCATTTATGCATCTGATATATCACAGCTTGGATTACCAAAGGAGTACGTAGACAAGATAAAAGAAAATCAAAATGTAATGACATATGTCAATGCAAAAGACAAGGTGTAGCAGAGGAGAGTCGATTGAAACTCGTTAAGGTAGAGATGCAGTTTACCTGACAGGTATTTTAATTAGTTAATTAAGCAACCAAGATGACCTCTCTTGTCCAAAAAACTATATATTTTCGGAAAGCTTATTGTATGAATTTAAAAATTTTGTAAGTATTTTTGTTATGGACACTGTAGTTTGAAATATGCACAAAAATATGTTGTTTTTTTTGTCAAAAATTATTTTAAAAAATAGCTCCTAAACCATGCCTCTGTTTCCTGTCAAAATTGGTTTGCGGGAACATCTGTTTACTATGGAGAAAGTGCCGTCTTGAAAACTGTCTACCAGTTGTCAATTTTGCTTGGCAGCAGCTCAAACTACACTAATTCAAGTGTATGCATAAATTAACACCCAGACTAGTTGTCTGTACGATTGTTGCAACACTGTTCAACCCAAAACAATGCCCCGATGGCGTTTTGAAGATAAACACATTGTCAATCATTTGTGAAAATTTCAAAAGAAAAGGTCAAAGAGTCTAGGAGCTATTTTTTTGAAAGTTCTGGGATGTGCACTAAAAAGAAACTGAGATAATTGCTAATTTGCATATTTTATAGTTAAGTAAAAATATATGCTGATTTACATCGCCATTGGATTTAACAGAGTTCCACTAATGATTTTAATTTCAAATTTTCATAGAATGTTCATACAGATGTTCATACAATGCCATAAAAAATTTTAAAAAAGTAAAATTTGTCAAAATTTGCAAAATAAACTGCATCTCTACCTTAAATCGTCGAAGTTTTTAGGGAACATGCTTTTCATTACACAAAGTCATTGTTCAAGGATATATTAATAATGTTGAAGAATATGCGATGGTATTTTTTTTCAATTTAGTGGCTGCTGACTCACGAAATGTTAATGAAATGTTTATTGACTAATTATATCTCTTTTTTAATTTATTTATCAACTACTAACTAACAAATCAACTAACTAATTTATGTATATTTTTTGTTCTCTAAATAACTAGATAGAATCCTGATAGCATCTTAGTAAAAGTCTCACTATCAAAGAAATGAATTGAAGAGAAAAATGGCACTTACACGCACCGATGAAATAAATGAATTGAAGAGAAAAATGGCACTTACACGCACCGATGAAATAAATGAATTGAAGAGAAAAATGGCACTTACACGCACCGATGAAATAAATGAATTGAAGAGAAAAATGGCACTTACACGCACCGATGAAATAAATGAATTGAAGAGAAAAATGGCACTTACACGCACCGATGAAATAAATGAATTGAAGAGAAAAATGGCACTTACACGCACCGATGAAATAAATGAATTGAAGAGAAAAATGGCACTTACACGCACCGATGAAATAAATGAATTGAAGAGGAAAATGGCACTTACACGCACCGATGAAATAAATGAATTGAAGAGAAAAATGGCACTTACACGCACCGATGAAATAAATGAGTTGAAGAGAAAAATGGCACTTACACGCACCGATGAAATAAATGAATTGAAGAGAAAAATGGCACTTACACGCACCGATGAAATAAATGAATTGAAGAGAAAAATGGCACTTACACGCACCGATGAAATAAATGAGTTGAAGAGAAAAATGGCACTTACACGCACCGATGAAATAAATGAATTGAAGAGAAAAATGGCACTTACACGCACCGATGAAATAAATGAATTGAAGAGAAAAATGGCACTTACACGCACCGATGAAATAAATGATTGAATCATGAGTTACGATGTCACGATACGTGTCTCTGATTTATCTTTTTTTCTAACGAACACAAATGTCATACATGTTGTAAAATATCCCATGTCCTTTTTTCAACATACATAATAATCGTTATTGAACTATAGTGACATCGCATCGAATAGTGACATCGCCCTCACATGTACACCATGGATGTTGTACGACAAAGTTTGCAGTTATAATCGACACGTTATTATACAATTAATACAATTAATACGAGTATTTGTTATTTAAAGTTTTACGTTTTGAATATTAATAATCACAATTGTATAATCGTTATGTGGAATATTAATATTACAATATTTTTTGTTTTATTAAAGATAAAATTTTGTTTTTGTACTTCTCTAACTGTATCTTTTGTATATTATATGTATGATTGATTGATTGATTGATTTTGAATGAATCAAAAATCATAAAGGTGCAGTTTGTCGCCGATTGTCTTTATCTCCGATTTTAGAAATTGTGTCAGTTAACCTCTGGCGTTCAATTCTCTCAAGGTCGACTTTGTACGCTGAAATCTGTGATCACGATATTACGCCGCATTCGTTACATCGTCCATCTAAGAACCTAAAACCAACTCTTTTACAACCGTCGGTCGTACACTTCAAATGTTTACGAGCATGTCGTTTCTCGTTGATTTTCAACATTTTACGACAATAATATTGACAAAGTCCTTCGGTTTTAACAGTGGTGTACATGTCGCAATGTTGTTTCTTGCATTTTAATCTCTTCCGTGTTTGAATCGATGCGCACAACTCCATCTCAGTGACTATAGAATGAATGATAAACAGACCATTAATATTAAATAATTGCGTGAATCTTAAATGTCCGATACAACTGAATAAATTTATATTTCGACTTTATTTGTATTCGTTCGTTGAATTAAATTGTTTTTATTAATGTGACTGCCGAAACAAAATTAGCACACGTTCGTATAGAGGTTTCGTTTGTTTTATTATTTTCCCCTCTTTTCATTTAACGAAGTATTAATTAGATTAGAATTCATTTAAATGTGAGTTATTTGACCGATACGACACGCTTTCGTCGTCTGTTGGTCTTACAACAGCCACCGTGAAAGTTATGAATGGTAAAATTGTAGACCATTCGATCATCTAAATAATGCTCTATCTATGTGATGCGCCCTCAAATAACAGAACGTTAACATATTAGTCTTCATCGCCAGAGGGCGTATTACTCACTTCGCTGCCTCCCGGTGTTCTTTGCGCAAGCGACAGAAGACGCATGGTGACCCATTCAATCCTTGAACGCGATTGGCCAATTGCTTTTTGGCTGGCTAAAAAGTAATATTACTGGCATTCAATCGGTAAATTGGTGCGACATCGTTCTAAAATATAGAGCGGGAATTTTTGTTTACTTGCTCTAACGTTGCGCGATAAAAAAATGCTTCGTCTGTTATAATACCTGTGTCTTCTGTCGCTTGCGTGTCGCATTGACCGCAGAGAATCGGCGAAATGCTGAACCACATTTTTTGATGTTTCAATTTGCAGAAAATCTAAACCGAAAACGTTTTCGATTTATTTTTCCGATCATAATGTTTACAAAACAAAAATCATCCGATTTCGACAACCTTACAGAGGAAGTCCCGCAATGTCTTCACTGAGAACACAAAACAATTTACAACCTTCTATTGTATGAAGCAAAAGTTATCTCTATAGCCTAAACAAAAAATATAATAATAATACAAATGCGTAGCGTTTGTATCTGAGAGTGTCCCTACAGGTTTGATCAATATCGATAGATATTCATTTCTAACTAACTTATTCGCCCGACTTTAAATGCAGCAGAATACCATGGTTTCGGACATTTGAAGAAGTCGCTCAAAAGACCCGAAAGTAAATAATTTCTACGCACACTACTAGTACATAGTGAAAGTACTACTGATGCTTGTTGTTGTTTTTTCTCCGATAGTTGCATATATGTACACATAGAAGATACAAATACACTAACTGTCGCATTGTAGACTACGTGTCATACAAATCTGATTTAAACTTTCCCACCCAGTGTTTTCTTTGCACTGTATTTAATATAATGAATACATTTGTAGAGCAGCTTCTTGCAATAAACGGTAATTGATCCAATAAATACAGCGGATCGAAACAATGTTTTTAATACTGTTAAAACTACTCGCACTAACTCCGCTAAGTTACTATTCATCAATTGCGAGTGAAATAAACGTAAATAATGGCCAATCAAAATTACATTCTGACGATAACAAGATAGCGTGAGGTTCCATGAGGTTTAAATCGATTAAACGACAAATGTTTCTATCCATTATACCGGTCAATTGGACTTCGTGCCAAAAGTACTCGTTTAATCACGGTTACTAGAAAAAGTAAGCGTGGTTTAATGATCTCCAAAACACCTTGACGAAATCGTAAAGCGAGGGTCTGAAGAAAACCGTGGTTGTATGACGTCACGTTGAAACATTAGACTCAGCGATTTAACAAAAGATTTTTTCCCTAAACATGTCTCAATACTATTGCGCCTCTGTAACGAACAACCAGTTAACCAGCAATCGAGACGTTCAGTTCATATTGTAGTATGATGTATGAAGGCGTCCAGTTCTATGACCCCCCCCCCCACACACACACACCTTGATTCAATTTTTTTCAATACATGTACCTTTTTCACCGTAGCACGTTTATTAATATTTGTTTGTATTTGACGAGCTCATGTGTATCTGATATGAACTTGGCTTCAATCAGCATTGGAAAATAGGCTAGTCACACATATATTATTAATCCTCAGTGTTGTGAAATTATAGATTAATGTACCCAGTAATTACATCATCCCTGATCGTTTCTCTCATTGAGTTTTATTTAAGATTAACGGCGTGTATTCCCACACGTTTGCACTACTTGTGTCGCTGTTTTCTGTGTGAGCTTATTTTATTTGGGGAATTTATTACCTCCGTCAAAAAGGTTAAGTTTTGGATTATGTTTTCTTTCAAACATAAACCGAACGATCAGATTTTTAGTTGCTATGATTTTTTTCAAAAGATTATACGCCATTGCCATTTAGAGTCATCCTCTGATTATTTGAGTGAAGAAACCTAAAGCCCACGATGTGAAGC